AGAGACTCTGAAAGGGCAGGATTAGCCATATTTAGTGTCCTGGAAAATTTGAAGTCCACTAATGACCTCTCCTGTGGTAAAACAATCAAATCCACTCATCCTGAAAAACAGACATGAACAAAGCAGGCCCTTCCCTACCCCAAATGAAAACTTAAAATGCTAGTACTGCATATGGCTGTAAATAACTGTTTCCACCAGCCCACTTCTTCCCAGAAATGTTATAGGAGCAGTTGGCAGGTAAAGAGTTCTCAAGAACAGGTGGGAAATCAGTGAAAATGAGAACAAAAGGAATGTCTACATAAAGGAAGGAGCTTTAAGGCTCAAAGTTAGAACATCTGGCTCTCCACTGGCTCAGAGATCTTGCTGGAGTTACTTCCTACAGGAAATCTGGGGTAAGCATATGCAATAGTAGCAAGATAACAAAGAAGGCTTATATAACATTCTGCACTACATCTTCCAAACAGTAATTTCCACCATATTTTTTAATATATACATTTGGAGAAGTGACAAACTCCAAATCCCACAAGGTGACCTCTCTTCCCTGCTGTGGACTTTAATTGCAAATAACCAACAAAACCAACAAGTAAGCAACTTCTATTTGACTTCTGTTAAACAGGAAAATCCAGTTCAGAATGGCCATCTTCCTGTCAGAAGACATGACCAGGCACAAGGAGCACGCTCTGTCACCACAGTTTTTACCATGGACATTGGAAGTTAAAAGTTAAACAAATTTTCTCAATTTCTTCACATGTAAAATGGAATTCTCAGTACTCTTATCTTTTCAAAGCTTTATAGGATGCTTCTCAGATTTCCTGCTTCTAAAATGCCTCAAAGGGAAGTCCAGTCTAAAAATGAAACCACATTATTTCCTCAATACAAGTCAGATTCCAAAGTGAATACAACACTTTTGCAACCATTATCATGACATGTAACCCAAAAATTTGTTTCAAATTCATCTCAACTCAAAAGACTGGTATAATAATTAATGGGAGCTGGTTTACTGTAGCTTTTAAATTAATTTGGCAGACTTTATTTGTCTGCCTTAAAGGATAAGGCAGCCGATGTGACCTCACTACAGAGACTATGCCAAGGCAAAGAATGCATGCTCAAAATCTCATGTATGATAAAAGTTGGTCTGTTTACTTCTTTTAGTTTATAAGTGAGAAGGTGGAATAACCAATTCAAGAAAACCAGTGAAAGACAAAGAGCCGGTTTTCAATGAGATGCTTAGACTTCGGGCCAAACAAACTCATGAGCTTCCTCCCTCTCTGCTATTTTTTGCTGCCCTTGTATCACATTCTCAGTTCAAAGGAGGATAGCCACTGCAGGTGCTGTGAGCTTAGCACTAGGGAGTACAGCAGGATGGAGGAATGAAAGGCTTCCTTGGCACCGAGAGTCTCTGGGCTTATCTTCACCTCCCCAAAGCTTGCCAACTCCAACACACGAAGAGTCAGGTTATTTAGAACAGAGAGGGGCAATACCCACCATCATCCTTACTGAAACAGATACTTCTTCCCTCAGCACAAACTCTACGAAGGAATGTTATTTTGAGCTCTACTGAACTTAGGAAAGAGACAGCTAGCAGTGCCATAGCTCTTTTCTGAAGTATATGCACGAGATGAAAGTGAGAAAGGTGTGGAGTGGACAAAGTACTTCTTTATCACTTGCAGACTGGTCTCACAAAAATCCAGCCTGTAATTTCACATATTTCTCCTCTTTTTTTTTTCCTTTTAGTTTTTAAAGGCGAGGTGGGGCAAAGGGGGTCAGCCCAAAAGTTCCTGCTGCTCCTGCAAAAAAGGACAAACAAGCTCTTTTCATGTCAGCTATGTCCAGCTGGAAAAGTCACAGCTTTGTCACAATGGAACAAAGCATGCCTGGTGTCTGTTCTTTCAAAAGGTCTCTTAATTCAAACAAAAGAAAAATATTCACATCTGGAAGGGGTCGTAGGCAGGGGGTGGGAGTGGAGGAAGCAAAGTTCAGATGGCAGCTCATAACCGTTGCTGTTTGTCTTGCTGTTTGTCTAATTATTGTACTGCCTGTTCTGGTACTAACTGATCCAGTTAAAGAAAGCAAGCCAAGAGTTAAAACAGCAATTTTATTATCGATTGACCTCAGACTTCCAGCTGAGACACACCTCTTCACTTTTGCTCCATTCGTCATGCTGGAACACTTGGACTGAGTAAAAAGACCCCTTGTGACCAGTCTGGCAGTAGCTACTCTTCTTCCCTCCCTCATTTTTTAATAATAAAAAAAATATATGTTGTTGTGTATGGAGTCCAAGCTTCGTTTAGAAGACAACCTACACTTTCGAAGGATGTACATTTTGAAATCCTGCTCTTTCCAATGGGTTATTTGACCATCTGCTTCTGCAAAGATTAAAATCTAATGACTGCAGAGTTGGGAGGCTGTATCAGAACTGAGCCACATGAAGATCAAAAATCAAATGTCTACTGAGATCAGATTAAAGGAGAAGAGAATAAACTTGAGAGTAGGACTTCACTGGCTAGGCGTGAAAGACCAACAGTGAGAGTTTGCCTTACACTCCCCTAAAGGTTTTCTCCTTCTTCAGAATCCAGTGCTTCTGAAGATGAAAAGCCTCTCCTAGGCTGCCACCTAGCTAGTTAATTTCTCATATTGTTTTAGGAGCTATTTTAAAAAGCTCTTTTGCTCCAGCCCTTACTGCATTGACTCCTCCCTTTTGAGCTGGTATTTTGTCAGGAGTTTCAAGAGCGATAAAAACTTGCTGCCAAGTCCCTTTCTTCCCCACAATGTGTTTTATAACCCAGCGTGTAGTTTAGTCTGTCTAAACACTGCACTAGTACACTGCCATCAGTTTCCATGGAGATGATTAACTCCTCCAGAGCCAGAAAGCTTTAGCATGCTTTTTGCCCTTTCAGCACATGAAGGACATAACAGCATTTACTAAAATCAGCCTGCAGAAACATCACATTTTCCAGACAGTTCTAGCAAATGTAAGCATTTACTTTTGCTTCAACACAGCTGTGGTCTTAACCAAACTTGCATTTAAGTCATCTGCTAGAATGAGTTGCTCTTTCCCCTCATGCTTCTCCTCCTTTGCATTGCTGTGATGTCTGAAGGTATGACAGCCCCACTGACATCAACTTTTTGAGCTACTATGTCTCAGGGCAAAGCCAAGGCATGAGATATAATGAAGAGTCCAGAAGAGAGAAAGGAGAGATGAAGGTGATGACTCTTAACTCAGCCAGAAATCAGAGTACAAAACAGAAAAACTTTGTGTCCTGAAGTTAAGATCACTGTTACATGAAACATCATAATTTACCACAATCCTAGTTACTTATGTGTCTAGCAAAAATACATTGTGTGTACTCATTACACATTTAACAGCATTTTAAGAAGCTGGATTAAACTGAAAACTACCTTTAATCTAGTATAACATGAACTAACTAGAGCAAGAAAGTAGACCCTTGCCCAAAATGCATCTAATGAAGGCCACATGCTGTCATCAGCTTCAGCTGTGGAAAAAACAGTTTCCCAGCCTGACTTTCACAGAAAGGGCGATCTCTGCAGCAGTTGCCACTTTGGAGGCACTCTTGTTGATGCAAACTATGAAAATGGCAACAGAACTTTTAATACTGCAGTTTCCTGGACGAATTCCCCAGTATAGTTTATAAATATTTTCCAGGGTATCATCACTGAAGCAAACTGTAGCCTTCCCAGCACTTTTAACATGTAATGTTTTTCTTGGCGTTCAATAGCCAATACACTATATAAGCTAGACATGAATAACCAGGCATAACTGCAGTTTCTGTAGAAGAGTTAAAGGCAAGAGAGATTTTTTTTGCCAGTAAGCTTGGCTAACTTGAAAGAGCCACTGGCAGGGTTCGTAGCAATGGGTGTTCTGCTGCTGTGAGAATTATTTTCTAGTTGACTTCCACAGCAGTTGCCAGAAGGATTTCTTTGCAGACTCTGCTAGGAATCAGTACTGTGTAGGTACCAGCAACGCAAAGTCCCCCAACCCCTTTTAACACTGCGCTACTAAGACAACCTACAGAGGCGCAAGAAGACTTCACTCATGCAGCCCACTCACGACTGCTGAAGAGGCAGCCTGTATTTACTGTCATGTAGACATGTGTCAGTATTAACTCAAAGGACACCACTAATTAATTTCATACACTTTCCTACTGGACACTTACCAAAGCAGCAACCATATTCGGTTAACCACCCTTGGCTACAAACAACCCAAAGAACTTGACACCAGAATCTCCATTACCCCCTCCTCAGAGACTCTGGGTGTTCCCCTTGTCCCCTAAAGTTAGTGCAGTGAAGACCCCTAGGGATGCTAAAATCTATAGCAGAGAACATCAGCAGGGATCCAGTAAGAGATTTTCAACTTTCCATAAAGCATGCACGTTTGCACACCTCCCACTGCTACAAAGATCACAATACAGCACGCAGAAAGCACGGAGACACTTGCTGCCTGCTTCTCCAGTCCTCTCTGCAGCGACCGGCACAGCACCAACAGCCCATATGTGCTGCACCTTCCACACCAACCGCCGCAGGCAGTTTCCTAGCTTGAGGGAACTCGTCCTCATCCTGCCTCCTATTAATTGTCACCAGCCTGAGGAGGAAATTTTGCCTGCCCACACCTCCAATTGTGTTTTTGTTTGGCTGTGGGAAAAAAGCCACTCTTACAACTACTGATTTCTTCCAAGTATTTCTTGGAGAGACTGGCACCGCTGCCATGGGATAGGACCTGCTACCGCAGCACGCCTGAGGCGGGTCCGCCACCGCACACCTTTCCTCTTACTACCCCAGGCATATGCAGCAGCTACGGAGCTATAACCCATCTTAAAAGGCCAGGTCACCCCTCACCGGTTTAACCCACCTCACCTCCACTTCCACGGGGTGACCTGCAGGACGCAGGGTTGTGGTGACAGCCCGCCTGCTGCCCGCACCCCTCAGGGTCCCGCGGAACTCTCTGGACACGCGGGCTTCGCAGCAGCGGGGCAGGTACTTACCGATGTCGGAGTTGCAGAACGCGTCCTGCGGGTGGATGGGGACGCAAGTGCAAGCCTCCACCACCAAGTCCCGCAGGCTCCAGCTGCAGAGGAACACGACGAGGAAGCTCAGCCACGCCGTCATGTTGCCTCCCGAGGTGCCTCCTCACTTGTGCGGAGCAGGAGAGCAGCCGCGCTTCTCCTC